CTCTCCTCTTTCACCCTCATCAAGAGGCTCTTTAGTTCTTCTTCACTTTCTGCCATTAGGGTGGCATCATCTTATAGATAGAAGTAAATTCTATTTTATCAATGAAGACTAGAATACAGGCTTTCTACATTCTAGAAGACTAGAATACTACAGAGCAGTAGTATGAAGACATGAACATGTTTACATAACACATTGAACCATGTTTAATATTAACTGTGTATACCAGATGATGTGGCAAACCACATCTGGCTGTGGTTTTTTACTGTAACACCCAAGTGTATAATTACCCTGCATACACAGTGGGGGAATGCCAGCCCTTTTCCAGGTTCCTCCCCCCCCCCCCCCGCAACACCCGCTCCTCTGTATCATTTTCCTGAAGGATTAATGGCTGCTTAACTGGTTGGACCAGTAAAGAGAAGAGTAATATGTTTATGATTAATATCCTCTCTAAGCCACAATCTGGGCTCTGAACTCAGTAACTATGTCCACTGTGTGGCTTATGGCACTGCAATTGGTCCGTGAGATACCATGCTTTAATCCTGAATTTCAGACTGAACAGCAGATTTGATAGAGAGAAACAAGAGCATGATAAACTGCTTGTTAACTGAATATCTATGGTTGAATTATTCTGTCAAGTTTCCTAACTGGTTATTTCATATTAGGTGCTATAAGGAGTCATCTTTCTGATTTTAAGAAACACAGAGCAGCCAGAATTGATCACTATGTTGTGGAAGTCAATAAATTAATAATCAGGTTAGAAAAGGTAAATATTTTGTAGTTTCAAAAATCTAATTTTCTTTAATTTTTCTTTCAAAAATGTTTTTATCGCATATGTAAGCCTTTATTTCAATCATTAGCTGTTATAACATTTCTTGTGATGTTTATTATTACATTATTTGTTAAAGCATAATTCAAAAGTACATTTCTTGGTGAGATGCTATCAACAAAAAGAAGTAACAATAACTGTAGAGAGATGTCTGTTTTCATATTAGTTTTAAATATAGAGATTCTGGGAGGAAAACTCTGTGGTCCATAATTTACTTTAACTTAGTATCCTCTAAGGCACAATATACTTTTGGCCCTTGTCTGTTTAAGTCTCACCTACCATATAGCAGTCTAAAAAGTACAACTAGAAAATTACTTGGCAGAAAAAAATGCTGTCTAGCCCTACTTTAACCTTTCTGAAGTGTCCCATTAATAGCAATACTAATTAATAGAAAATCTGTGAAAAATGTAGTGTTCCCTTTCTGGTCTAAAACTACACAATAAGGAACTGAACAGAAATTGAAATTAAGGAGCATAATGTTCTTTCTTTAGCAGCTTTAAACTTTACTTTTTAGTTAGAAAAATTCAAATACCTTACTTCTCAATCTCCATTTTCATTGTTGTTCCCTATTCAAACTTTGAATTTTAAAATATAAAGATTTCTCTGAATTTTTAAATATTTTTTCTATTAATTTTTTTCACTATCTGGATTCTGCTGGTCCATTACTAAGATAAAATAAAAGAGATACTCAGGGGAGGCATCTGATTTTTAAGAAAAACAAATTGAATAGATGTAAGACTATTTGAAATAATGTGACAAACTATACAGTAAAATTCTGTATGTAAGTCTAATTCTTGGTCATTTTCTTTTGGCCAGCTTACTTCCTTTGACAGAACAATTACAGATTCTGCAAAGATAAGAGGTAAGCACAAAGAAGTAGTACCTTTGCTAATATTTTCTGCTAGGATTTCATTGATGATGTCTAATAGGTTATTGGGTCTTATTGCAGCAATAGAGAAATCGGTCGTGCCTTGGGTTAATGATCAAGATGTGCCATTTTGTCCAGACTGCGGTAACAAGTTTAGCATACGGAACAGGCGCCATCACTGCCGCCTCTGTGGGTCTATCATGTGCAAGAAGTGCATGGAACTGGTCAGTCTCCCCTTTGCAAGTGAGTGCAATGGTAGGATAGAAATGGCTTAATTTCATTTTCAGTATTTATTATATTCTGGCTTAGTGTCACTCAAACATTATTACGGTATGAATTAAGAAAAAATATTGCTATGTTTTTATATTTGTCACGAAATGAGTAATCGTTGTCTTCTCCTGATCAGATAAAGCAGCAGAGGAAATTTGAGGAGGATTGGAGGACATATTTTTAAGGTCTTCTTGTTGGTGGTGTTTTTTGTTTTTTTTAATAGCAGCATAAACAACAGCCAAGAGCTGCAGTGGGAAGAGTATGATGCAGTGGCCTTATGTGTGTGCATGTATGCACTACATTATCAGAGGGTTTTTTGGAGTGGGGTTGAGGGTTCTTTTTCTAGAAGAGCAGTTGGCAACTCATAAATTGCATCTTATTTTCCCAGAGTTACTCATGATTCTGTCATTAAAAATTCAATACGAAAATGGCCATTTTAGGTGGCAGGATTTTTTTCCATGTTTTGACAAAAGATGTTTTGCTTTTAAACATTCTGAACCCCAAAATGTTTTTAGAAAAAGATAAAAAATTATTGCTATCCCCTTTCTATTGACATCCTCCTCTACAGCTTTTAGAAGTCACATATAATAATAACTAAAATGTTTCTTCCCATCAAAAATGAAATATCCTATTACTACAGTATGACATTTGTCATTTGCTTGTTTAGTAGATAGATTTCATCAGATATGATGCATAAATATTCATATTTACTTTGAACATAATATTTTAAAGTTGAAGAAGGAGAAAACATTTGATTTATATCTTCCTAACAACTACCTTATAGTGTACAGTTTTACTGCAGTTCCTGTTTTATGTGTAAATGGAGTTGAGTAGAACTGAGTCTTTGAAGCTGTGTTCAAGATCAGTGTTCATTCAGCAGGACCATTACGCTTTGTCAGTTATATTTTGTTGGTCTCTCCTTTCAGGCAAACTTACCACTGCTAGCAAGGAAGTCTTGGCCTCTCATACTAGCCCCAGCTGCTCACCCAATAGTATCCAGGGCTCTCGGCGAGGTAGCATCAGTAGCATAAGCAGTGTCAGTTCTGTCTTGGATGAAAAAGATGATGATCGAATCCGTTGCTGTAGACACTGTAAAGATACACTGCTCAAAAGGGAACAACAGATTGATGAAAGGGAGTACATACCAGATATTGTGAAACTGTATGAGGTAAAATGACAGAGATTGGGAGTTAAATGAGACTTATTGCCAATATCATATATAATAGTTGTTATGAAAGTAGATCTAATACACTAGGAACTGTTTGTATTGAAAAGAAAACAGTAGGGTGGCTCATTGATGACAAGATTTGGTTTAGCTTTGTTGATTAGAAAATAACCATTTGGCTGAAATAATCTTGGAAGCTTAAAATCAGAATCTCACTTTGGAAAATCTGAAGTTATGACATAATATCTATTATTACTGAAGTTGTGTTACTCTTAACTATTATGGGAAATCAACAGATTATAGTCTTTTGCATTTGACAAAAATGGATGAAATTTGCAGCTATTGTTGCATTTTCAGAGGGGATTTATCCTGCCAAATTTCAAACAGATTGATCCAATTGTTTTCAAGAATTTAGAAGCTTTTCAAAAAGGATTTGCTTACCCATCTTGGATTTTTTTGAGTGACAATTTATATGAAAAAATTATTTATTATAAGTAGTGTAGGATAGGTTTAGAGCTTTAGTTTGGTTCTTGTAGAACTCATTTAGCAACATGTCACCATTGTTAGAATACTGCATATACAGTAGTTCTGGTCATCACATCTCAAAAAGAATATTGCAGTTCTGAGAACAATACAGATATGGCCAGCTGATTGATTGGTTGGTTGGTTGGTTGGTTGGTTGATTGAGTCTGTCTGTCTGTCTATCTATCTATCAAATTTGTCACCACCCATCTCGTTAAAAAGTGATTCTGGGTGATTTACAGAGAAGATACAGTATAAAAATAAATAATAAATATATTCCAAGAATTGATGGTAATTGGCGAGTATTAGGCTCAGGGAGCATCATCAGGAAGCTAGCCACCCCCAGGGTTGATTAAAACTCTTATTGCTCCACGCAAGCTGGCAGAGCCAGGTCTTTAGTCATTTCTGGAAAGCCAGGAGGTTAGGGGCCCGCTGCACCTCTCGGGGGAGAATATTCCAGAGGGCAGGGGCAGCCGGCATTCTCTTTTTCTATAGGCAAAGTTTACCATTTTTAGTAAAATAATAAAGTATCAGTTGTATACTGTGCACTGTTGACAGAAAAACATGGATCTTACATAGCTAATGCAACCATACAATAGTATGTGAACTAGATTCATTCCAATTCTAACAGCTCAGGCGATCTTTGTAACTGAGGTGATCATAGAGATGCCTGTGCATCCACTTGCTGTTGACTTATCTACTTCATGAATCCTTTTTGAAGGAAATTGCAGACCCTGCAATGAGGGATTTAAGCAAACTGGTAATCTTACAGACTACAACAGTTTAGTGGCCTGTGCTGGTTTCATAATCCAGTTAAGCATCAGTATGTTTTTGTAGGAAGCTTTTTTTTCTCTTTGTTGAGTAAACATGGTCCACATTTTAAAAGGTATGTTAATAGCCCAGCATCAGCACAGTCTGTCTGAATTGCTAGAATTTGAACAACTGAGATGGAGTGCAAACCTTTGAATATTTTTCTCACTGGTATGTTTGGCTTCTCACAGCAAAGATGTGAAAAAATAGATTTAAAATTCACAGATTTTCTACAAGCTTAAATGCGAACAAGTAAAATTCATAGATGTGTTAAAATAGTAATAGCTAAGCTATATTTATATATATGTATGTATGTATGTATGTATGTATGTGTGTATATATATATGCATATATATATATGTATGTATGTGTGTACCACCCATAGGGGTGAGAGGGGAATTTGTGTGTGTGTGTGTGTGTGTGTGTGTG